GATCGGAAGAGCGTCTCGAGGCTTAACTGTTGTGTCGTTGAGTTGGTTGGGGGTTGCGGTGTGTGGTGGGGAGTCCTGGTTTTGCAATTTCCTTCCACGCTTTTTCCCTAATGAGTGATGGACTTTTGTCGCTTGAAATGATATAGAGTCAAGGAAAGAAGCGGTTGCTGGAGCGGGCGTTGGGCGTTGCATGGACGTGAAGAGTGTGGTGTCGGTCGGGCACTTCGCGGCGAAGAGGTTGAGAAGGGAGTGCTTTTGCGAGGGCTAGCTTTCTTGGAGGCAGAGAAGAGGGATTGTTGAGCATTGTGTGGTGTGGAAGGGCGAAAGACGGAGGGAGGAGGGGATATATCTTCTGCAGTGCGTATTGAGGAGAATGTGGAGGGAGGGCGTTACTGGCGGGATTGAAGGTGGAGGAAGAGGACATGTTTTGGTGTGAGGGGTCAACAGATGAGAGTCGGCGGCGCATGGAAGAGAAGGGGGGGGGGTGAGGAACTTTTTTTCGAAACGGTTCCGGCAGCTGAGGAAGGGAGCGGTTGGTGTGTGTTACGCCAGTGGGACAGCTGGATGGCAAGAAAGGCGGTAGTCCGTCGTTTGTGACCAGTTGTGCGTGGCGAGCCTCCGCCATCCTTTCTGGTGGTGAGCAGAAGGAAGGGACAGGTGTTCTCGTTGGTCAGGATGTGTGCTTCACCTGTTTGTCAGAGAAGCGTGTGCTGACCGCGGGAGGACGGAGTTATGGAGTTTTGGGGGCCGTGTGGGCCGTGGAGGGCGGTGATCCTGGGTTATTGGGATGTAGAGGACCTGTGGAGAAGCGCCGCTCGTGGGTCTGTTGGTTGGAGAAGAGAGTTTGTGGGTGTTGTACTGGTGCGTTTTGCAGAAGAAATGATGTGGGGGAGCAAGAGAGGGCATGACAGGACACGTTGTGTAGGTTGTGCCTCCGCGTCTCCATTCTCAGTTTGGGAGGAGGGGTGGTGGGGGACAGCCTAGCAAGGTGTTTGCGTGCTGGTTGGAGGTTGTTTGCTTCTTCTTGTTTTGTCTGCGGTGGTATCAGTCGGCTGCGCTGGATGCTTCGTAAAAGGTGCGGGGAGCACTAAGGATCAGGTGTTGCTGATGGGACAGCATTGCAGACTACGCGTGGAGCAAGCGGCCGTTCACTTTGGGGTGGTGAGTGTGTTGGTGAAGATGATTGGGCGGCTGAACCATACGCAGATGGTGTGCAGAGTTGCGCTTGCGTATATGGAAGCTGCGGCAATCAGGGTAGTCTCTTCTTGACAGAATCATGTTTGGAAGAAGCCAAATGAAGGGTTAGAGGTAGGGCTGTGGGGCAGTAGTCACGCAGCGTGTGGCGACAGTGCTGCATGCAGCGTTGTTTGTCCTGTTCCTCTCCTCCTCAGGCCGTTGCTGTTTGGCTTTGGAAGAAAAGAACATGATAGAGAGGCCCTCCGTCTGCTTTTCAGTCGATCGGCAAGAGGATTGTCTCTCTCCGCGTCGCCTGTGGGTCCGTCGCTACCGGTCTCTTAGTGTCCCTTCTCCTCTGTAATTGGGTCACATCGGCGTGACCTTGCTGAGAAGGAGTAGGCATGTAAGAGTGTAGGGCTGGAGACGCATGCGGGGGAGGGAGCGGCGTTTTTTTGTCTCTTGTTTGGTCGAAGGAAGGCGTTGACGACAATAGCAACCTGGTTGATCCTGCCAGTAGTCATATGCTTGTCTCAAAGATTAAGCCATGCATGTCTAAGTATAAGCTTTTATACGGTGAAACTGCGAATGGCTCATTAAAACAGTTATAGTTTATTTGATGGTCTCATTTTACATGGATAACCATGGTAATTCTATGGCTAATACATGCGCAAAGGTCACCTCCTTTGGAGGGGCTGTGTTTATTAGATACAAAACCAACCCACTTTGTAGTGGAGTCTTGGTGATTCATAGTAACCGAACGGATCGCAGTTGGTTCTTTTGGGCCCGCGATGGATCATTCAAGTTTCTGACCTATCAGCTTTCGACGGTAGGGTATTGGCCTACCGTGGCAGTGACGGGTAACGGGGAATTAGGGTTCGATTCCGGAGAGGGAGCCTGAGAAACGGCTACCACATCTAAGGAAGGCAGCAGGCGCGCAAATTACCCAATGGAAACAGCTTCGAGGTAGTGACGAGAAATAACAATACAGGGCATTTTATGCTTTGTAATTGGAATGACGGGAATGTAAAACCCTTCCAGAGTAACAATTAGAGGGCAAGTCTGGTGCCAGCAGCCGCGGTAATTCCAGCTCCAATAGTGTATATTAGAGTTGTTGCAGTTAAAAAGCTCGTAGTTGGATTTCTGTCGTGGTCATCCGCCGCCGCCCGTATGGGTGTGGGCCTGGCATGCCCTCGGCTTATTTCCCGTAGCCTTCCGCGCTTAATTGCGTGTGTTGGTGTTCTGGAACTTTTACTTTGAGAAAAATAGAGTGTTTCAAGCAGGCTTGTCGCCCTGAATACTGCACCATGGAATAATAAGATAGGACCTCGGTTCTATTTTGTTGGTTTCTAGGACCAAGGTAATGATTAATAGGGACAGTT